CTGTGTAACCCCCACCTAGGGGTGTTACAAATACGTCCTCTTACGCACATCGTGGATCATGTCAAACTGCTGCGAGTAAGTTGATATTGGGGGACCCAACATTACAAAACTGAGTCTGTTCTGATACCATTTTACAGAAATCAAAGGTTATTGGGCCTAACTTAACCTAACAAAACCGGCTTGTTAGGGGAGGATTGCCCTCACCTTATTAAGTGGATCATACCAATATCTCCAGTCAATGTAGGATTCTAATAGTATGAGCAACCGTATTACCATTCCGACTGATATGAGAGCATTCCCAATTACACATAGAGGATAAAAATGAACATATATCTTCAATAATGACTCCCTCCTCCGCTAGCGAAGAACCAACATTCACCATTCAGACCACACAGGTATCCACTCAACTTTACTAATAACAAAACCATGTGTTTGCGCAAAGACAAGTCGTTCCCTTAATGGCATGTTTACTTATTAAGAGTGGGTAATGAAAATTGAGATTCAAAATTAACTTGACTTACCCATTTTATATCCTGGAATAATAGGGAGAATGTGTGTGTCCCACACTAATTTAGGGTTGAGAAATGAGATTAGCACTCTCCTCAGCCCCCACCGGATTGTCATTTCTAATCCTAATATTAAATACAAAATTATAAATTTACCCTTAATTTTTCTCCTTCATTCCACACGTTATCTATTCTCTACAATTTCAGATCCAAAATTTCTCTCTCCGTAGAAACACGAAGAATAAAATATTTCACTATCTAGGGTTTATTTCTCCCTTTCTCTCTCAGCCATTTACCATCCCCTCTTCTGCCATTGCTTTAGAGTCACAAATCATCCATTTCACCAGTGCTGAAACTTTGGACGGGCCGCCCGCGACCACCAAAAATTCTGAATTTTTACCCGATTACCGAACCCGAACTGCCTAAAAATTCAGGTTGCCTGACCTGACCCGATTTTCACCTTGGACGGGCTTCGGGCAGCTTTTGGCTGCTCGTGCCCGGTCGGGCTGCCCGTTGCCCGACCGCCTGCCCAAATTTTCAAATATTTTTATATTATATTTTTATATTGTCTAATGTATATATATTATATATATATCTATATAAAAAAAATTATTTCTTTATTGATTTTTAAATTTGTAATTCATGATTGTCTCGTTAAAAACCTTACCAAGAAAAATTCAATTGGGATAAAAACTTGGTAAAGAAAAAAGAGCGCAATCATTGTGGGACGAATTACAAATTTGACGAACTTACAAAGTCTATACAAGATTACAATAACACTATACAAATTAGTAATTACAAAGTAAATAAATATTTACAAATTACAATAATAAAATTTAATTTGAAACAGAATGATTGTCTTGAAAATTAAAAGTTAATATATTAAATTCGTCGATCCATTCTTGGCTTGCCGGTGAGATTGTATCGTGTAAGCGTTGGTCGGAACAATCCCAATCCTTGATGCACACCAAAGCTTCAACAATATCTTGTTGCAATGTGTTTCTCCATTCTTCAAGTATTCGGCCGGTTATACTGAATGTTTGTTCGGCTGCAACAGTGGAGACCGGGATCGAAAAAAATATCCATTGCTAGTCATGTTAGGATCGGCCAAGTTAATGCTCGTGCCTTCCACCACTGAACTAAATCAAACATTTCACTACTGTCTAACACTAAGCCCTCACTTAGGTACGCCATTAACTCGTTGAATCCGCTGCTGTTGCCGCCACCTCTTGATGAAGAGCCATTCCCAGATTCTTCTTGACCTTGAGTCGTCGTCGTCATCTTCTTCTTCTTCTTAGACAACCCGAAAACATTCAATAATGAATACAGATTGTCGTCTCATTGTTGCGGTTGTTCAACACGAGGTGTGTTTCTAAACATACTTTCGTAAGAGATATAGAGAGAAAATATTTTTTCCTTTATAATAGGAAATTGGTCAGTAGTGTCGATAGCTAAAAATTCACATAAGTTATCTAATCCACTTTCTAAACCTTCTAATTTTAATCTAAGGTCGAAAATAACACCGAAACCATACAACATGGGTAATTTAGACCAATATTTTTTAAACTTCTTTTCCATAGAGGCGATAGGAACTCCTAAAACCTCGTGTGTCCTAAATTCACTAAGGGTCAGTTTGGTATAAGGATTAAAATCAGGGTGATTTGAGTCATTTGATTCAGATCCATGATTCATGATTCAGAGTGATTAGAACTTTCGTTTGGATGTGTATATGCATGATTCTGATTCTAACCTGAAATGTGATTCGAATCAGTGTTTAGTTGTCTTGTTTTCTGAATTTGAATTATGACCAAAATATTGTAATTTAAAAAATTATATGTTAAATATAATTCTTTACGTGTAATTTGAAAAAAACTATAATTCGTTACATAATTAAAAAAATGAAGTACTAGAAAAAAATTATGCAAATAATTATAACTCAAAATTATAACAAGCTAAGTGAGAAATAAATGGAAAAATGTGAATAAAATTATATAACATGCCTAAAGTTCGCAAGTAAATTTGCGTTAGGCCACACAATCGAAGGAAGAAATTGGCATTAATCAAACAAATGTTGGAGAAAAAAGTAGATACCTTGTTTTTGTTTGTGAAGAAGCTGAATTATTCTTGGAGACACTGAGTGACGCTGTGAAATTTTTCAAGCTTTTGATTTTTTGTATAATAGGCGAAGTTGTCTTGCTGCTTTCACCACCAGAGTGAGAAGAGAAATGAATTGACATGTGAAGTGATTTTGCGTTCTTTTTATTAACCATGTCTTCCACAAAATTCTTACTCTTTGAAGCAAGATTGTTCGCTTTCGTGGTTTGTACATGGGTCATTTGTTTGGCGGGAGAACACAGTCTTGTATGCTTTGTTTTGGGATGTTGACTTTGATGAGGAGCTGGATGACCTTTTTTTGCTTGCTGAAGCTATAATCTCTTGATCTCTAGCTTCCTGCATAGTTAATGAGATACTAACAATTAAACCCCTAAAAGCAAATCAACAGTCTTCAAAAAAGAAAGTGAAAGAAAGAAAGTTTACCTCACTACCAAGCATATTCTCTTCTGTGGTAGATTCAATCTTATTGAGGTCTACATTATTCTCCGGCGGGATTGAAATTTCAACTGGATTAGAACTCTCCACGTCCATACTTTCTTGAATTGCCACCCCTCCCCCTTCCAACTCTGAAACATCCGGTTCATTCCTTTCGACACACAAATTTGAATTGGAAGGATAAATTGTGACATTACTTGCAACATCTTTGTCCTGTTGTTCTCCCACATCGATCCCTCCTTTCACCGTATCCGACTCCATTAAAGAGTCATTGCGTTTCTTGTCCTCAGTTGCTGGCTGCTCTACAACATTTGAAGTGGTAACCACATTTGCAGCCTCGAGCAAGGCTGCCGCTCTTTTTGCGGCTTTTCTCTTGTAATGTGCCTCAAAGTAGGCTTTCTTCTTAGCAACAGAACCCGGTTTAGCAAATTTCTCAACTTCCTCCAAGTACTGATTGTGGGAGAATGCCGACCATCTCTCCCAAGCCAGGGAGTCTGTCAAAAACCTACCAAAAGAGACGGATTCGCCTAGTGCGCGGAAGGGGTCCCCCTGCAATAACAAATGCATTCAATTTTCTCACAAACTCTTCAAAAGCCAAGTCCTCGTGACAAATAACCTCACACAAACACAAAAAAACACAAAAATTGCTTTGATTTTCATAAATATATCGACCCATAACTTCAAAATCTCATCACAATAATAATAATAATAATAATAATAATAATAATAATAATAATGATAAAAGCTAGCAAACATTATAAGATCAAACCGAGAACCACCAACAACCAAGAACCACCAAAGCAACATAAGTTACGCTCAAGTCCATTTTCAAGCTGTTATTGTTAATATTACTATTATTAAAATACATGATATCATATTGATCATGTGTTGAGCAATCATATCTCATACAAAATTAAATTAGTCATTCGGGGAAGAAATTAATAAGCATAAAGCTAGTGGATGACCTGCACTCTAGGATTCTGGAAATCATCCATAGCTCCAGCAAGGGCAGGAAGCACCTGCTTATGATAATTAATCCTTGCCAAAATGAGTTCAAGACTATTGCCACCACATGGTCCAAAATCTTTAACATCACCTGAGAAATAACAGGAACATATTATCAAATACCATACAAGAAAATAAAGAACCTTTCTTACCTGTAACAAACACTATACTTCAACAAATGAAATGAAATGACCTCTGTACAGAAGACACCATTATCAGTGTCGTTTTGACATGTTTTTCCTTCTTGCCGATTTCCATCTAGCGAATATGGCTAGCCTGTTTTGAGAGTTGACGCCAACAAATCAACACACAAGCCCAACTTAGGCCATTTCCCCCATCTCGTCACCAAAAATACTCTCTTCGGCACACAAAATTCATGAACAAATATATACACACACAACATACATAATAACAATTGTAGGTCCAATGTGTCCACGAAAAAGCAGAGAAAAAAAATGAAAATGAAAGGTCTTAACAGAATGTATATTCATTCATATTTCAAATATAATTGATACATGAATATGAAGTAATATTGCAGAATCCCATTGCTGATTTGCACTTTCAACCTTGTCTCCCACGGCTTCATTGATATTCCACCCATATTTCATTCGCAATGCGATCCCTAAATTGACCCATCTCTGTTCGGCTAACTGTAGCTCCTGTTACTGTTGGCCCTTCGGGGCCATTGTCGTCATTGTTGGAATTGTCAACGTCATCAAATTCATCACTATTGGTTGGATCTATTTCACTAACCGGTACACCGTCACGGTAGTATTGATTCAGAAGCGGGTCCCCCTCATTTACCATGTGAATACAATTATGTAAGATTGCACATGCCACAGGAATCTTCACTTGTTTGTTCATTGGGTAACAATTATTTGGCCGCCTTAAGATGGGGAACCTAGCCTTCCAAACACAAAAAGTTCGCTCTATACAATTTCACAACGAAGAGTGTTTGTAGTTATAAATATCTCTAGGTCCCCTAAATCCACCACTTCTCTTTCGGTAGTCAGGCAAATGGTATGTCCCACCTCTATACGGAGCAAGAAAACAAGCATTGTTTGCATATGTCGTGTCTACAAGGTAGTATTTTCCTGTGCAACTTAAACAAATTTTGTTGGAATTTGTAGGTCGTAACATGTATATGACTTAGAATTATGTCGTTGGTTTGAATTCTTACCAGGCGGTGGATGTGGGAATTTGAACTTCAGTTTGTCAACAGCATCTTTAAGCACTCGTGTATCATGTGCTGACCCTTCCCAACCAGTTAATATGTACGTGCACTTCATATTGAAGGAACATGCTGCAACTATATTCTGAAAGTTGACGCCCTTCCTATTGCGGTAAGCAATCGGATTTTGAACCCCAATCGGCGTGCAAGGTATATGAGTCCCGTCAATTGCACCTACATAGTCCTAAACATCATAGTAAACCACAATTGTGACATATTAATAAGAAACACAACTTCAAAAAGATTAATGAAATTGATAGCACAGAGAAACACAACTTACGTCAAACCATGTGCCATATCTATGACGATTGTCACGTACAAAATCACTAACTCTGTCATAGTTTGGGGGTTTAATGAAGTCATCGTGCAGCGCACAAATGGCGTCTAGGACGTCACTGAATCTCCGTGAAATGGTCTCACCAGAATGTTGCCAGACATCTTGTGCCTCACGATTAGTTTGACTTTGGGCAACGATAGTTAAGAAGACAAATACTTGTTCTGGGACGTTCATGTTATTTATGGGTTGTAACAAACGTCTCTCAGTTAGTACTTCACAAAGAATCATAAAAGCCCGTGGTCCCATACGCACCTTGTTAAACATTGCCGGCTCATTATTGTTTGCTAATAACTCGTTGACTTTGTCTATACCCCTTAAAGACGAGTTATGCATCGGCCTTGGTACCTCGTCATAAAAAATAACAGCGGCTGCAGCTGTAGCGGTACACGTTAACCTGTAACGACACATTACCAAATAGGGTAATTACAAGTATGATCTCAATTATTGTAATCCACTTTGTGTAGAACAATTTCCATACTATACAAGGAATTTGTAATAACGCAATTGTATTTCAAACTATACTCAAATGGTCGAACAAGTGAAATGTTTTAAAATCAAATACAAGACAACAATCCGGAACAATGGTCCAAGCACACTACGTAATCGGAAATAAAAATAACAACTCATAATAAACTTAAATGTTAAAGGGGAGAACTTGGTACTCAAATAAAGCTGTCTAACATTACAACACTCCAATTCTACTACTAAACACTAATCCGTGGTCCACCATGGGAGAAAATGGGACCATGTAAAACTACACTTGGCAATCTAAGGAGTATGTGGGTGGTTGTAGGGGTTTGGTGGCTGATTATAGGGATGTGGAGGCTGATTGTATGGATTAGGGGGCTGGTTATATGGGTTATGTGGGTGATTATATGGGTTAGGTGGCTGGTTGTAAGGATTTAGGACTTGCGAGAAGTTGCGAGATGGCTGGCCATAAGGATCCCGAGTATGATGCACAAGTGGAGTTTGTGGGACTTTTACAAAGTCACTAATAAAGGTCCACCTCATATCTTCATCAATTCTACCCCAAACTGGCCGCCAAGTGGGTGAAGCCATGATTTTGTCAAAAGCATGAGTTTGCGTACGCTTATCAATTCCCATTTCCCCAAGCGAATTTAAGATGATGTTAGCTTCACTAGGGCCATTTACGGTTGTGTAACTTGGTTGGGTTTCTTTAGTTGTACGAATTTCTTCTTTCAAATCATCTCTCATTTCCTTAACTAGAGAGTACAACATTTCTTTCGAAGAACCGTTTGATTTCTTTGCTGTAGACTGCCTTTTCTGAATCCCACGTGACGATGAGGCGATATTTGTGACATTTCACTTTCCGTAACGATCGACTCGTTCGGCAAGATCATTACGAGCATCTTCATCATCTAGATTCTGGTATGGAGCATCTTGGCTAGCCTGTTGTTGTTCATCATTACCAGTAAGATCTTCAATGGGGGCATCATCCGCTGCCTCTTCACCTGCATGTGCGTGAAATGCACCTAAACCAGAAGCTCCAACTCTAGTTGGGAAAATGGCAGCCAAGTACGCCTCGTTCAACTTCTAACCACTAGTAAACAATGTTTTCACATTGCAGTTTCTCTAGAAATAAATTAGAGAATTTGTTAGTAACCGCTTACATGAAAGGTAAATTTGTGACAATGTAAATATGTCCCTGTTTTAGTCAAATGTATAATCAATCCCATATGTTACCTTACAAAGATCTTTCTGCAGCTCCTCGGAACAGGTGAAAGTTGATGTGGTAGGATCTCATCCTACTCCTGTATGATCTTGTAACATTTTGTACACGGCGTATACCTTACCTAATCGTCAGCGTTTCTCCTTAAGACGGTCACCATCGGGAACATAGCCATAAAAAAACTTGGCCATTTCTGTGGCCCAGTGGTTATAGCGACGAGTTTCTGGTAGCCGACCGTGGTTATCGTCGTGATATTCATACATTCTCTCTAGTAGAAAAGCCTCTGCAGCAGGGCTCCAAAAAAGTGGCCTCTCATCTCTAGTTTTCCTTGGCATTTACACACGCATATCATAACCAAGAGCAGGACAACACATGCAAAAACAAAGGATACCACATTCAAAAAAGGTATTTTTCCGGGGCTACTCATATAATCATTTTGGTCAAGTATATGACTCACAGTTCCAACACCAAATAAAGGAAACAACAGGCAACTCAAATATCAGATAATAAATAAGAAAAATGCTCAGAAAAGCCATCCAATGAACTTACTTGAGCCACTTACATGGGAACTTGCACATTGCATTTCCCTGACAACTTAACCATGTTATGAGCCTAGGAATTTTATGGAATGAGTACCTTATGAAATTAACAAACTGTTTTTTTTTTCCACTTTTGTAAAGACGACCTTCAGGTTTTTTTTTTCTTTTTAAGTGGTCGTTTCAATTATTGAAAACTTTCTTATCGGAGTCCAAGACGATAGAATTGCTGCAATTTTATTTACACCCAATAGACCATCCGGGCATAAGAACAATAAAAGCCCAAATTTTCAAAGATTTGTTCTAAGAGACCCATTCTTACTTTGATATACATTCTGACATACTTTTTAATTAGAAGATATTAATTAAAATATAAAATATAAAAATCTAAAACTTGTGTATTCTATAGAGTATTTATCTCTTTTCTCCCGACAAACTTGATCAAAACAAAGTCAAGGAGAGCCAGTGGAGGTTAGAAATTCTGGACCTGGAGAATTGACATAGAGCTGGTGAAGAAGGCCTACATGTTTTCTGTGTATTATAAATCACAAACTGGGTTCAAAAGGAGCTCTATATGTATGTATGTCTACATATATGTATATATATGTTTATATATATATATAACTATATGATCAGCTACCGATGGTCATATATAGAATGATCTTAATCCTGAGTTCTTAACAAACTCCTATTTATGGATTTGTGTCTTTTGATTTACTCGGTACGGATTCTGAGATCCTGAATCCTATTCCTTGTATTTTGGAGACATGATGAAGTAGGTAGCCGGGAATGTTATTACATGAGATGGAATCCATTCCTTCTTAAGAAAGAAGTAGATAAATAATTCTCTTGAGGGTTGATTCGGTACTTGGACCAGTACGAGCTCCGATTCATGAATGTGTTTTATGAATCACTATCCATTAGAGAATCAATGGTACTCAAGGATAAAGAAGTAATTAGAGAGGTTAACGGATTTTACCTTGATCTAATTATGAATTATTTATGGAGGATTGATCTATATGCAATGACTATATCAAATGGACACTTCACAGTTTAGAAGTAATTTATATCTATAATTTCGAGAATGCAATTCTAAGTTTATAGTGGAGTAACTATTGGAATTAATAGAATTAATTAATTAATTAAAGTGTTTAATTGATTATTAATTTTGTTGGAGCTCAGGATTATAGGTCCATTAGTCCCCGCGTCGTCCTAGTAATTCTACCAGATACATAGGGCAAAATGAGAATTTTAGAATTACGGAATTCTAAAATTAAATACTCAAAAATAATTAATTGAGAATTAATTATTATTTAAATAATGTGATTATTTAAATTTGAATTTGAACACATCTAGATTTATCCATTTAAACTTATTTGATAAGTTGTTCAATTTAGAAATTCAAATTAATTTAAGTTTGACTTAAATTCGAATTTGAATTTGAAATAAAATTGGACTACAGGATAAAGGATGATTTTCTCTTCCTTCCCTATCCAGTATTGGCGCCACACACAGGGATGGGAATCCCTAGCATGGCCGGCCACAAGGGATAAGGGATAGAGGAGAATTTTGGTTCGAAATTCAAATTGGAGATAGAGATTGGATTCCTTCTAGAAGTTTGACTTCTACTCTATAAATACTATTTTTGAGACAATTTTTGGAATGGTTTTTTTACCCTAATATTAGAGGTGGCCGAAATTTCTCTATAGAAAGAAGGAAATAATTTTTCAGCCCTAAGAGTTAAGGCTGGCCGAAATTCTCAAGAGAGAAAGGAAGGAAAAATTTTTTCTCCAAAAATTCCACATCGTGCATGTGATGGTGTTTGTGGAAATTCGAGTGTTTTTTGTAACCCGTTTTGTCTCATGTGTGCCCACACACACGTCTTCGTGGATTCTAGGAATTGATGTGGAAGACATTGGTTTTCTAAACACAAAGATTGGAGTAAGGCCTGTTCATGGTCAAAGAACTCAAGTTATCATCCGAGTCGACTTCCAGGTATTTTTCCTGATTGAGTTCTTGATATATATAAGTTAATGAGATTAATTTATTCGTGCATAAATTAATATAATCTATAGAGTATCTCAAAAATTTTATGAAAATTTTTGTTATACACGATCCGCCTCTTCCCCCCGCACCACCGCGCTTCCGCATCCGAATTCGATTCGGAGACCAACAGTTATTACTTTCTGCGGCAACCACTATAATTTCACAATTTCAATTCGCTCAAACTCGCCAAAATCAATTTCCTCCAATCATAGGTTTTCATATGCTTTCACCCTCAAAATCTCCGGGCTTGTTCTTTTAGAGTGTAACTTGAGTATATTTTTTGAGTTAAATTTTAGTTTAAGTTAAAGTTGAAGTTTTAACTTGAATAAAATTGAGTAAAGTTAAAACTTAAAAGAACATGAACTTAAATAAAGTTAGAACTCGAGTTGTCTTTTTTTGAGTTTTTTGGACAAACGAACAGGCCCTCTATTTCCCTCCCTTTCTAGAAAAACCATCTAAAATACCTTAAATGCCCTTCAAACTAACTATGAGTATGGCACGTGCTCTTTTTTGTTTGGAAATGACAGTATTCCCCATGAGATCAAGATCCAGGCCCGAAAAAGGCGGGATAGGAAACAATAATTAAGAATTGGGCCGAAAATGGGGATAAAATCTTATTCATGAATCATGATAGGACTAAGACTACGTTTGGTTGGAGGAATAGAATGGAAAGAAAAAGCCATTCCACTTAGAGTATGTTTGGTAGGAAAGAAAAGTAGAAGGAAGGAAGAAGGTGGAGAGATTTTGGGAGAGAAAATGAAAATATACGTTGTTTGGTATGAGAAAAAAGAGGAAGGAAGAGAAAATGGAGTGAAAAATTATACATGTGGGTCTCATCATTTTTCTTCTTTCCACAAGTGAGCAGAAAATAGGGTGAAAAATAGGGACAACTAATTAAAGTGAGCAAAGTTACTAAACTACCATTTTCTCCATCAGCATCTAAACAAAAAATTTAAGGGTATAAAAGTAATTTATGAGTAAAATTTTTTCTTTCCTCTCAATTTAACTTTCAATACCAAACAAGTGAAGATAAACTCATTTTCTTTCTATCTTCTCGTACCAAACAACATAAAAGAAAATCAATTTCCTTTCCATCATTACTATTTTTCATTACTTCTATATTTTTTTTCTATCCTATTTTCTTTTCTTATTACCAAACATAGCATTAATTCCATTGTTTAATTTCATTTTTTGGGTTAGAAAGGGCTTTCCGTGGGGGGCTGTGGAATTGCTTTTCCATTCAGCCCTGATTTACGTTTTCTCCAAAAACTCTCTGATGCCCTAGCCTCCATTTCTTGCTCGGCCACCGAGCTCCAGCCATTGACCATCGACCTCCAGAGCACTCCTCGCTTCCTTTTTTTTTTCTTCTTCTCGATCTCCGGCAAGAGAGGTTTGGCTCGATTCTTCTCGATCTCTGGTGAAGATCCAAGAGGTTTGGCTCCGATCGAAACGAAAAAGTTCTCGCGCGGCTCGATTCTTGGCTCGCTTCGTTGCTGCTGCTGCTGCTTCTTGGATCTTCACCGGTGCCTCACTACTGCTGCTTCTTGGATCTTCACCGGCACGAAGACGAGGTACTATTTCGTCGAACTCCTGTTCGTGTCGATGGCCGGTTCCTGATTTCTTCTCCTTTTTATCTTAACCGCCGTTTGTTGTTTCTTGTTAGAGTTTTCATTTTAGAAGTTATTTTGATGACACTGCTTTATGCTTTACAGTGGTGGTGAATTGTGATCCATAAGAAAATTCATGAACAAAATTCGTTTTTCGTGCTAGTTATGCATGTTAGTTTGCACTGTTTCTATTGTCCATACATGACAAACAAAAATCAGTCACTGTTGTTCTTGTACCTCTACATTACATAAATCTCATATAAGGCCGAGATTATCAAGTCTCAGAAACATCGTTAGAAAGATCAAAATTAAGCATTCCTAATCACAATGGCATTACCAAACTCCAACCATTTTAAGTCCGACTTCTGTTTGCTCTTGGCCAACCTAGTTTTGGAGGAGGAAGCCTTAATTAAGGCTTCAAATTTTGTGGCTTCTCATTTATCATTGCATGCCACATTGAGCTTGGTTGCTGCAGGGTCAAAAGGGCAAACTTTGCAGCAGCTTTTATTCTTTTTGAGATCAAAAAATGTTTATGATCTAACTTTATCGTCTTCATGGATCATCAGTTTGGCATCATCATCACCAGATGATGAGGGAGGTGATAATCTCAGTGGTGGTCCACTAGTGTCGTTTGTTAATGGTGCTTGGGTGGACCAAGTTTTCGATCTGAAGCCATCTTTTGAAGCAATTGTGAAAGGGTCTTATAAAGCTGATATCAGAACCCTTGACTTTGTAAACAAGGTATGTCTATTTTCTATAAAATATTATTACCTTTCTTTTCCCCTTTGTTGAAGAAAACTGATAGTCATGTGTATCTAAATTTAGTGAAAGAATATGAATCGTGTCTATCATGTTCAAATATATGTTTCTTTCTCTTTTTGTCTTTTGTAATAACTATGTTCTCTGTTTTTTTTTGTTTTTTTTTGTTTTTGGTCTTCACTTGTATATATGGTGTATGATTAGGAGGTTTCAAGAGTTTATTTCTTTATTGTTTTACCTTTATATGTTGTTTGACATGGTTTTGTTTATTGCTTGACACGGTTTTTTTTGTTTATTTCTTTATTGTTTCAAGAGGTGTCAACCTCGTTGTGTGTCATCCTTTTAGTTGTTTTATTGTAGGATAATGGCTCACTTAGGATTAGTTAAAAGTGAAAGTTTGAAAAGGTAAGTGAACACTTAAGTCGGGCTATCGGTGAAGACATGACGGAAAAACATAGCCGGATTAGGGATGAGCTACAAAGGACCACAACCATTAATGCAATGGAGCGACATAAGGTAGCTCAGACAATGATAAAGGATGATGCTTTAGTTTCTTACGTTTTTAGTATCCCTGATGATGAAAAAGATGAGTGGGCTAAAGCTTGCTTACTGGTAATATTTAGGAGTGTTTGTTTAGTTTCAGTGGAAAAACATAGCCGGATGACCTTTTGATATAGTGGTGTATGTGCTATGCATTTCTCTTTTGATATAGTGGTTCATGTGCTATGCACTTTTCTTTTGATATTGTAACTAATTAGGATTATGCTTCACTTTGTTAAATTGTATTAACTAGGAACTTGCTTCACTTGGCATATGACTATATTTTGGGATTATATATGTAGTTGAATGATATATTGTCATTATTATTATTGACAGAGGCCAAAGTTATATTTTTCAGGGAACATATAATGGTAGATGCCAAAAGTTATCATATTTGAGCTTGTGATAATTTATTATTACATAAAAATATCAAATATTATTATTTTTTACATTTGAAATATAGTTTTTAAATTATTATCCTTTAAATAAAAAGTTTTTTTCAATAATTAAATTATTTTTTTAATATTTTAATTAATTAAAATATTAAATTAATTAGGATTATTAATCAAGGGTATTTTTGTCAAAATACAATTTATTTTCATTCCATTCTATTGTCAACCAAACAACATAATTCTCATTCAGGTATTGATTTCATAACTCCAATCAAACAAAAGAATCAGTTTATGATTCCAGCACATTCCAATTCCATTTCATTACCATTCCCATTACCATTTTTATTATCATTCCGTCATTGCAACCAAACACACTCTAATATGTATAATATATTATATAAGTGACTTATTTAAAAGAATGGTTATACAAATTGTTAAGAAAAAAAAAGGAAGAAAAAAGAAGGGATAAAAGAATTACATACAAAAGTGAGAAAAAAATTTGACATAAAAGATAGAGAAAAAATTAAAAAAAAAAAAAATTTGTGCCAAATATTTCACAATTGAAGCTATAATTTATTAGGATCACAGACAAAATATCTTTATATAAGGACTCATTTAGAATAAATTAATTTAACAGAGCAATTAGAAAAATAATATTATTTTAAATAATCATAAGAAAATTTTTTAAAAGGGACATATTTGAAAATATATAAAAAAGGTTAAAAAATGCAACAAAAAAGATAAGTGGGGAAAAAGAAGAAATGAAAAATAAAACTTAAAAAAAAAAACTTGAGGGGCAATGAAAGGGGGGGTTTATATTAAGATTTTGTTAGTATATGTTTAAATTTTTTTTGGTTGAACCTTGAATTTTAGTTTAAATTTACTGTGAACTTTAACTTACAATTAGGAAATGAATAGTTATATAAAATGAGGAAAAGGGTGGATATGGCGAAGGCATAACTCCTCTTCCATTAATAGGTACTCTTTAGGCATTAACCACACGCCTTAGCGCTCTTCTACGGAGAATTGACCTCGCCTCTCTTTGAGTAGAGGTGTAGGCGGGGATGAGGATGGGATGGTTTTCTATTGAGCAAATTATAAACTTTTTTCTCTAAAAGTTAATGTATAAGATTTTTATCTTTTATTATTAATTAATATTTTTTTATTAATATAATTTTTTAACTAAAAAATATAAATTAAGAATAAAAGGTAAAAATTTAAAATTCATGCATTTTAAAAGTATTTATATCCTTTTTACTTAGGCATCTTTGTCCAATTCTAAGCCCATCTAATTTTAAGCATGTCATCAATCAGATTAATTTAAATTTGACGGAAAGTTAAAAGTTAAAAACTAAAAAATTAGATTTTTTTTCTAAAGAACCTGAGGACTAATTTATTACTTCTTTTTCTTTCGAAAAAAAAAAATTATTACTTCTTCCAACTATATTCAGCTAGTTAATTGGCTCTACATAATTAGGGATCGTTTAGTTTTTTTATTTGAGTTGAAATATGATTTTATGTGAGTTTTTTATTATAACAAAAAAATTATATGTGACTGTTTTTTAAAGTTTTTTATTGTAATAAAACTCAAATTTTAAATTTAAATTGGTGAAATGAACGGAGACTTTAATAACGCGGGATCCACTCCTCGGTCAAAATCCAATCTCAAATGAATAAAGCTAAGGGGCATCACACGACGTGGAATCTACATGGAGGTTGACTTACCTTGAAAATCTCGAAACATCTCTGATTCTTATTTTTAATTTGAGTTAAAATGTAGTTATATAAGATTTAAGTTTTTAATTTGAGTTAAGATGTGATTTTATATGAGAGTTTTTTATTATAATAAAAAAATTAAGAGTTTGTTTAGTTTGTTGATTTGAGTTTTTAATTCGAATTAAGATGTAATTTTATATAAAATTTTGTTATTGTAATAAAAAAATTAAATGTGACTGTTTTTAAAATTGTTTACTCTAATAAAACTAAAATGTTAAATTTAATTGTTTACTCTAATGTTATGCAAATATTTTTTATAATTGCTACTGTTTCTTTCTTCTTTCTCTTGTCCCTTCGTCTATTTTCTTCTCCACAAATAATGGCGTTAAACAAATTGTAGACGTCGCTTAGAAAGAAAAGGTGTCGGTTTTCTGGAATTTAAACTTCGAAAATGGATTTAGTTATGTTGTTTTTAATCTTATTATTCGAAAATGATATAGTTTGAGAATGAATCTTGGGGTCTATAAGTGGGCTTATGCTCATGCGCCAGTAGTTTTTTTTTTTTTTTTTTTTTTTTTTTTTTTTTTTTTTTCAATTTCATCTATGGTTCACGTTGAAAGACATAAGAAATATGTCGCCAATGAATTTGCTGATTCTGTTTTCATATGGGAGAAAGAGACCCGAAAAAAGAAAAAGGAAAAGAAGAAGAATAAAAAAAATTGCTATTTGATGGGTATTTCAGTAAAGATAGGTTTTGAAGAGGAGAAAATGTTTGAGATCTGAAAGGAGAGTAACAAGGGCGTATCCCATGCCAACCATTTTTTTTTTCTTGACAAATCTGGCGTTTTGTTGAGCATGGTGGAGATGGCGAGCGTGTGGTCGCCGGAGAGTTGCCGGTGCCGGAAAGGTTGCTTTGTTACGAGAGTTCAAATTAGGTGGTTTTAGTTTTAAAACTAGAGTCCGTTTGAAACTTAGATTCGTTCTCTATTCGAATCATGGTTCGTTACAGTATTTTTTCTCACAAAAAATACACGTAAATAAAAAATAATTTTAATCACATAGTTTGAATCCATGAACCAAACGCCACCTAAAATTATGATTTATGATTTGAATTTGAGGTTCAAACTATTGTTCTATAACTAAAATCAAAATTTAAAGATTTGAATCATCTAAAATTAAGAAAAAAATAATTTTATTTTTTAAGGTGATTTTAATTTAAAATAAAATTACTCTAATTTAAACCCTCATTTGGGTAATTCGTTTTGCCACGTAAGGACGTCTAATAAGCCACTGGCCTGCCCACCTCAATGCTAAATAGGATGGTGAGAGGCACCAATGATGCCGTATAGCTTTACTCATCTCAAATACGGTACTAGTAAAATCAAGTAAAAATCAATAATATCGTACAAATATTAAATTCTCGTTTATTTTATCAATTTAAGTTTAGAATTCGAGTTTTGTTATAGTAAAAAGTTCTAAAAAATAATTATATTTAATTTTTTTATTACAGTTTTTAACTCTCACATAAAGCCACATCTCAAATCAAATTAAAAACTCGAATCAACGAACTAAACGGGCCCTAAAGTTGTGTTTGGTATACGGGTTCTAAAGTCAGAACTATGATTTTAGTTCAAATCTTTATTTGTTTGTAAAAAATAAAAAATAGTTTTTGAAAATTAGCATTTGGTATGAATGATTCTGGTCTAAAGTTTAAATCTTAATGTGATGTTTTAAATTAAAATCATCCTAAAAAAAACTACTTCTTATTTAATTTTGGATAGTTTAAACTCCTAATTATGATTATGATTCTAAAATCATAATTTAGACCTTAAATTTAAACCATAAATCAAAATTTTAATTTTAAAATTAAAATAACTATAATTTAAATGCAACCTAATTAATTGAGAAAAAAAGTTCCTCAAAAATCAAAATCAAAATAAAAGAAAAAGGTATTAGGATGATGAGGCCTTTGTTGGCGTTGGCCCGTTGGGAAATTGATGCTTATCTTAAGGGGAGATCTGGAAGTTTCGTTTGGTTGATGGTTTTGGTTAAGTTTGCGTAGAATAGGAGATTGTTTATCCCTTTTTTCGTGGGTCCCAACACTTTCAGCTTCAGGTCGTTTCCCCTCCCTCCTCTCTCTCTGCCCACACCCCGCGCCTTTTCTGCGTTTTTATCATCCCCATTACTATTACGTCTACGCCTCTCTCTCTCTCTCTCTCTACATACATATATATATATATATATATATTTCCCATATATATACTCACACATTAATAATATTTGAATATCCCAGTATTTCATATATTGTTCCTGAAACTTCTGGAAAATCCTCCACTTCTGGTAAAAAAAATCCAGACTTTCACATCTCTTCTCTCATGTTCTGTTCGTAATCTGTAATTTTTATGACCGGTAAGTTTGTTTTGCTTGATTAAACGATGGCATGATTTTGGAATGAAAATTTAAAAATTTTGGTTTTGTGTATCAATTTCGGTGGTTTTTCTTGCATTATAATGATTGATAGCATTCAATTCCTGTTATTTTGCTATTTACTAAACCTAAATTTTGCCCTGTCCAGTTAATGGCAGAGATTTTATGAATTTCAATAATTTTAATTGTTAATTTTTATTAATTTTGATCTTCGAAAAGGTGGAAGAAAGATTGCACAGTGGTGAGTTACAAAAAAAAAGGAAGAGTCTATTTGATTTGGTGGGCCCATTGGATAGGGTACAAGAGCTCTCTAATGGTGGTCTCGGAACGAGCGACTATGGTAATCAAATCTTACCAAAACCAGGCTGAACAGCTGCTACAGGAATTTGCACTAGCAGAACCTGTTATGCCATATATTTCCATTATTGGTGCCATTTTTGCATGCAAAATGGTATGTTCTTCGCCATTTCTTCATTGTTTTAAGCCCATTTAAAATGGAATTTTAGTCAAGAATAAAGGGATTTTCTCTTTGACCCTTATGTTTTTTCAGGTTTATGATCTTACTCAGTTGATCAGTTCTGTGCATTTTAAGAGTTACTCTAGCCTTTCAAAAGTCCAACGTACTGAGTGGAATAACAGGTGATTTTAGGTGTACCTGATTACTGGTTAATGCTTTATGTATTTTTCCTTCTGAAAATTTTTTAAACTTGTCTTATCTGACTGTTTCTTTTTCAGGGCCATGTCAACTGTTCATGCCGTCTTTATCACAATTATGTCATTGTCTTTAGTGTTTTCGTCGGATCTCTATTCTGACGACAGACTTGCTGGCCCTGTTACATTGCAAAGTTCTCCATTGTCAACATTTGTATTGGGGGTAAGGGCACCTAAAGTCATCTTATCTTTTGGATTTGGAGTTTTTAACTGGTTTTGATTGTATATGATCATTCTCCTTGTTGCCATAATATTTACTCATCTGTATATAGCAAACACCTGGTTCATTATACAATTTCCACCTCATGGGCACCTACATGACGAAAGTCATGGGCCTTGTTCGTTTCGCATATTCGAGTTTTCAATTCAAGCTGAGATGTGACATTTTCTGAAAGCTTTTAACTGTAGTAGAAAAAGTTAGATGCGACATTTTTTTAAGAGTTTTTAATTGTAGGAAATTTAGAACTGAAAACTCGAATCGGTTAAATGAACGAGGCCATCGTTTCCTACCCTCCAAAGATTGTAGGGTTTAGCGGAGGGTTCCAATTTCTAATTTGGGCTTACAAAGTAGGCTTGGGGAATTTTTGGAAAAAATACAATTTCATTTTGTATTGAAAGAGAATAGACCGGAGCAAAATTTTTTGGGAAAAATGTTGTAGCCTAGGTATATACTGTATAAATATATTTCTATCTACAGTCTGGTTAACCCAAAACCAAAGAACTGGGACTGAATCTTGACCTTAGTCTTCTCGATAGAAGAGAGTTTTATGTAATAGGAGGACTACTTGTTTGTTGTATAGTCCATGAATAAGAAAGTTGAAGAAAAGACAAGTGTTAGGTTTCAATATGGGCATGCGATGTCAGATGTAATAGATTTCGAAAACTGTGTGTGTTGATGTGGACCATGTGGCTAGCCTGTCTATTGGAGATCGTATGCTCCTGCCACTATTTTCACCTTATCTTGAATTATTCATCAACCTTGTACATGAATAGCAACACGTTCACCAAGGTCTATCTGATCATCCTTGATGTTCATATTATTAAAGGTGTTATCAACTTTTTGGAGAGGCCACCTTTGTTTTAATGTTTTAAAATAAACTTTCTGTGGTCTTTATGTTTTTTAATGGTTTTGTATAATGCAAGCAAAACAAAGAAAAAAAAATGAGTGTGACCGAGAGGTCCTTTGGAGGAATTATGTACATGGTGGTTGATACAAGGTGTGAAGATCTGATTTGGAGGTTTTTTCATAAAATTAAACGACGAGGGCAGAATTCTTTGAGCCAAAGAGTATACTTGATTCAACGCTAGGCTGCAATGTGAATGCAGGAAATAGTTGTCAGGATGGTAAAACTCTATAGTGTAATGGTGGAGCTGTTGCAAAAGCACCTTGATTTCCCTAAACAACTTGATTTGAGGTAACTAGGGAAACAAGACAGAGGAAGGAGTTTAGCATGAGCATTTCTTGCTAATAGTGACTATGTTGTCGACTTTACAGCTATTTCTGCCATTAATTGATCGGTTTTTAAGAAATTATGTTTCTTCGAAATATTATCTTTCCACTCCAGATGGTATTTAAGAATGTTGAATTATAGTATCTGAGTATCTAAGCATTTTGCTGCCTTATCTTTTTCTTTTCTTCACTCTAATCTTTTTCCGACTTGAGATTGCTGTGGAAAATGCAGTTTTTCCTCCTTGATTAGCGATCTGTTAGCACTAGGAATCGTGTGAATATTTGTTTTCTAGAGTTTAGGGATTCGGGTGATAGAAAATCAGGAATCTCCGATTATAGAGTTTCCCTTTTTAGATAGTTGCTATTTTTTCTCTCTGAAATCCGTGTATATAGTCCATCAGAGACTCTTGTAAATTACACAAATTCAATACCATTTTCTCACATTTTACCACATGGTATCAGAGCCATAGGGCTCGTTTTTTTTTTTTTTTTTTTTTTTTTTTTTTTTTTCTGGAATTAAGTCTGTTTCCTTTCTGGCATTCATAGCCATTTTTTTTTCTTGATTTGCCTTCATTGCAGTCTCCTTTCTTGACAAACTGTTTAACCAGTTTTTTCTCGACCAATTTTTTTCCCGTTTTCTCTCTCGATCCTTCATAACCAATTGTTAAAGGATGTCAGAAATGATCTCTTCAACTCCTTCAGTTCAACCAGCCCAACAACAAGAGGAAGAACAGGTTCAGCGCTCCACAAGTGAATTAAGAATATTCAAGCAGCATATCGACTCAAAGGTAGAAACTACCTGAAATGGTCTCAATTGGTTCGGACCTTTCTAAAAGGGAAAGGAAAATTAAGTCATTTATTAGGGACTGGACCGAAGAAAGGTGAGGCCGGTTTTGAAGCATGGGACGAAGTGGTTTCCATGATCATGTCCTGGTTGTGGAATTCCATGACGCCCGAAATCAGTGACACATGTATGTTCCTACCAACCGCAAAGGCAATCTGCGATGCACTGAATCAAACCTATTCTAAAGTCCATGATGTGGCGCTGATATATGAAATCAAGACCAAGATGGCAACCACAAAATAGGGGAGTAAACTGTGACTGAATATGCTAATTTCCTACAAAACCAATGGCAAGAACTGGATTATTATAAGGTGATTGATTTGAAATGCAGTGAATGTGCAAAAACAATTAAAAAATTCATAGAAAGAGATCGGGTTTATGATTTTCTTGTAGGTCCAAATTCTGAATTCGATCAACTGAGAATTCAGTTTCTAGGCAAGGTGGAGGTACCGTCTCTTAATGAGACAATTTCGTTGATTCAGGCCGAAGAGAGTCAGAGAGGAGTTATGCTTGAACCTCAACTGGTTGACTGCTCTGCACTCACGACTTTTGGTAACAAACAACAGGGTCTCATCTTGGAGCAGCCACCAAAAGCTGAGCATGAAAAGGCAGAAGTCTCAAAGGGAGCGAATCGTAATGATCTCTGGTGTACCTACTGTAGAAAGCCAATGCATACAAGGTGATCGCTGCTGGAAATTACATGGGAAACGCTCAACAGCTAGCCGTGAGTGGGGAAATAAAGGAGGGCAGCAGCAGCGACAACAAGGTTAGGCCCATATGACCTCACAAGTGAACCAGGATCGGGGCACAAGAACATGGAGGGTTTAACAGTGAAGAAATAGAGAAGTTGAGGAACCTGCTGGGAACTCTTGAGAAACCTTCCTCCATCGCGTGTTCTTTAGCTCTCTCGGGTAAGCTTTCATTCTCTCTTGGACTAAATGTTTCTGATAAATTGTTTGGAAATTCATGGATTATAGACTCGGGAGCCACAGATCACATGACATATGCCTCAAATCACTGTTGCCGATGGAACCACAACCACAGTAGCCGGGGTAGGGGATGTCCATATCACACCTAGTCTAGTCCTTAAAAATGTTCTACATGTTCCTAAATTATCCACCAACCTTGTGTCCCTTCAAAAGCTTATGAAAGACTTACATTGTCACGTTATGTTTTATCCCTCTTATTGTGAATTTCAGGACCAGGGTTCGGGGATGAGGATTGAACTTGCTAAGAAATATGATGGACTTTATTACCTTAAGACACCAAACTTTCTGAAAATTACCGAGAGAGAAAGTATGCTCTCTGATTTTTTGTTATTGAATGAATGAAAATTACAGCCACATATATATAGGACACGGTTGTAGTATGCAAACCATGTGAACAGAATAAAAGGTAAACAAAAATAAGGGGAACAATCTAATCTAAATAAGGAAAGAGAATAAACAGGAAATTAGGTAACTTAATACAAATATTCAACTATCCTAATATAGAATGATGCAGCCCTAGAAATTCGAACTTTTAAAGGTAAGATTGCAACACTCCCCCCCAAGCTGGGTTGTAGATATCCTCCATACACAGCTTGCGATTCAATTCTTCAAAGTTAGTTCGTGGAAGGGCTTTAGTGAGTATGTCAGCTGTTTGAAACCTGGTAGGAGTGTAGACCAATTGTACAATTGCTTTCTCAATCTTTTCTAAGATGAAGTGCCTGTCAATCTTTATGTGCTTTGTCCTGTCATGGTGCACAGGATTCTTTGCAATGCTTATGGCTGCTTGGTTGTCACATAACATCTTGATGAACTTCTCACTTGGTACTCCTAACTCACCAAGTAGTCTCTGTATCCACATTCCTTCATAGATACCTAGAGCTAATGCTCTAAATTCAGCTTCTGCACTACTTCTTGAAACTACAGATTGTTTCTTGCTCCTCCAAGTCACAAGATTTCCTCAAACATAGGAGCAATACCCAGATGTAGATCGCCTGTCTAAGATGTCTCCTGTCCAGTCTGCATATGAGAAGACTTAAATATCTCTACAGTCATTCTTCTTGTATAACAGGCCTTTTCCTGGTGTCATCTTAAGATATCTTAAAATCCGGTTCACAGCTGCCATATGTTCTTCCGTGGGGTTGTTCATAAACTGACTCACAACACTGACAGAAAAACCAATATCAGGTCGTGTGTGTGAGAGGTAGATTAGTCAACCCACTAGTCTCTGATATCTCTCCCTGTCTACTGGAGCACTATCTTCTTCAGTCCATATCTTTTTCGTTGAATCCATTGGAGTGTCTACAGGCTTACATCCCAGCATACTAGTTTTCTTTAATAAGTCCAGAACGTACTTTCGTTGAGAGACGAATATTCTTTTCTTAGATCGTGCCACCTCCATGCCTAGGAAATGTTTGAGCTCACCGAGCTCTTTGATTTCAAATTCCTTGGCCAAAAGCTTCTTCAATCTCAATAATTCTTCTTCATAATCACCTGTTAGAATAATATCATCAACGTACACAATCAGTACTGCTATCTTCTTCTCTGGAGAGAACTTCACAAACACTGCCTGACATTGAGTGTATCCATGCCTCACTGCTGACTTTGCAAACCTATCAAACCATGCACGAGGGGATTGCTTGAGTCCGTATAGAGATTTTCTAAGCTTGCACACTTTGTTGCTATTGAGGCCAATCCCGGTGATATTTCCATATACACTTCTTCCAGATCACCATTTAAAAATGCATTTTTTACATCCAGTTGGTGTAATGGCCAATCTCGGTTTGCTGCAAGGGAAAGAAGAACCCGAATTGTATTGAGTTTGGCAACTGGAGCAAATGTTTCCTAGTAATCTATTCCATAGGACTGAGTGAAGCCCTTAG